GTTTGCGGTGGGCTGGCAGAGCCGGTGTCGCTCGCTCAGACCCGCCTCGGGCTCTGCCCGGGCACTGGAGGGGCGCAGAGAGCACCGGCCGCGCTGCAGCTCCCCCTCCGCTCGGCACAGGGCGTCCGGCAGGACCTGGAGCGACAAACGCCCTGGGCGTGTGTCCGGGCCGGGCGCAGGCAGCGCCCCGCTGAGCCCCGCTGGCGGCGTGGGCACGGTCGCCTGCCCCTCTCCTCGGACGCTTCCCCGACATCCGCCCCGCTGGCTGCAGAAACAGAGATGTGCCTGTTCCTTGCTCCTGGCGGCTCGCGGGGCAGCACCGGAGTCTGGCGTGGCGCCGGGCGCGCAGGCTGCGTTAAACCCCGACCTCAGCTGCCTCCTCATCGCTGACCTTCGCTCGCTCCCCGGCCAAGCGCATGTCTTGGAGAAGTCTGTTGCTGTAATAAGTTATTTAGAAGTGCCCGTCTGACTCCGTGCTGCTTCTTAAAGTCTCTGCTGTAGAACAAAGCTACGTCATGGCAGCAAAATGGCAAATTTTGAGTAAGTGTTAAAAGGTACAAGTTTTTATAATGTAAAATCCTGATTACCTAACCCCATTGAAATGCGATTGCCATAGTAACAAATAACAGTGTTGCCGCTCTCAGCCTGGGTTGCCCGTTCGCCCCGACCTGCTTTGCACTGCTTTTGATTGATCTTACGTTTTCTGGTTGGACGGAACGGTGACTAACAGTAGGTTTTGTACTGTCAGCTTGTATTTTTTATTTGTACATATGTAAAATATTTCTTGTCCAAAGATTCATTTCTGGTTTCGAGGCACCAAACCGCGTTGCTGGGATAATGAGCACAAAATACCGTAACGTTCAGGACAGACCGATTCCAAGTCTTTGCTTCAACTTCTTCCAATCAGGTAAATCCTTGTCTAAACCTGCCTCTGAACGCAGGGCTGTGCCATGGGAAAGCCGAGGCCCATTTTGGTTGCAGGTGTGTCCTGTTCGGGCGGAATTGAAGCTGTGCTGTTTGCACCAGCTGGGGAGGTTTGGGCGACCCCCTGGACCTGCTCGTTTACTTGGAGGCTGCAGCACCAGTTTTAGTTCTTATTTATCCTGCAGGAAGGCAAAGCCAGACCTCGCTGCCAAGCTCCACAAAGGCTAGATTGATGACGCCGACACCGACAAATGAACATACCATGGCAGCCTGGCCATTCGGCTCAGGTTCACTTGAAGTTCAAATCCACTCCATGCTGTAGTACTGTGCCCATCTCATCCATCTTTTATCTTTCTATGTTTCTGCTTGTAGTTTGTTGTGCAGTTTTCCGAGGCATCCACGTCTAGTTTCTCCTGCGGTGTGGTGGGCGCAGCAGCGGGGTGTCCCCCACGTCGGGGCGTGGAGCTGCAGGGCGCTGCCCCCCCTCTCTTACTGGGGGTGCTAGAGCGAGGGCAGCCAGCGCAGAGCTGCCGCCGGGAGTGGGGGGCAGCTGCCAGGAGCCCCCCAGGAGCGCCGTCCCGAGGGCAGGGCTGGCTGCGCAGCGGCGGGAGCAGCTCCAGGGAGCTGCCAAGCCCCGTGTCCCTTGGGCGCTCCCCAGGCATGTCTCAGAGAAACGGGCGCGTAGCTTCAAGTCCCTGTGAGGTTTAGCTTAGAAAGCGTCAGTAGATAAAATCAGTGCTCTGGTATTTACAGCAACAGCGAGGGTTGCTCAGCCTCCTTAGAGGTGGCGAGCTCAGCTTTCTCCTCGGTGGCCTACAAGAAACGCTGGACGGCTCAGAACGCTGACGGGACGCGCTGCTGCAGCACAGCTGAGAAAGCTCCAGGATTTATTTGTCCGGTTGGTCCTCGCTCCTCCTTCATACACCGGGTCAGCAAAGCTGCTTCAGGGTGCATCTGCAGAGAAACGCGAGGGATCCGTTTGAGCATCGCGGTGTCTCCGTGCCGTGGCGCTGTGGTGTGCCCCATGCTCAGAGCACCGGTGGTACAACCGCGGCTCCCGTGGTGCGAAGGCAATAGAGGTGTTGGAGCGAAGAGCTGTGGCGGGTGAGAGCCAGCCGAGCTCTGGGACCTGCTAAACCAAGGCTGGAAAACGGCGTTTCCAAAGGGGAGAGGGCTCGGAGCCGGTGCTTGGAAGCACAGCGAGACACCCGGTGCAGGGGGGCTGCCTGCGGGTCCTCTTCTCACCCCGCCCGTGATGGGAAGATTTTCTGTTGCACCTCTGAGATCTCGGGCATCAGCTCAGCGTTTCCACAGGTGGTTTCATTTGCTGTTCTGTAACTTTTGTACTCGCAGCAAGGCATTGCAAGGCTGGTCCTTGCATCCTCGCCGCAAGTCCTCCCCCTCGGCACGTGCCGGAGCCAGCACCAGCATCACTCTGCATGTTCCTCCCTGTCCGAAAGGCGACTGTGGTGTGGCTGGGCCGGGCAGTGACCATGCGGGGAGCCCGCGGTTGGTGTCTGGCTGCACAGAGGCCTCCTGGAGTGTAAGGGGAGGGGCTGAGCTAATGGAAAGCACCAGAAGCGGATTTGCAGAGCTTTGCCAGATGTGCTTGGCTACCTTGCCTCTGTTTCTAGAACAAAACTAGTCTCTAGGTAGCTTAATCTTGTGGCTGATGGAGAAATCAGTTTGCCAAATTGTCATGTGTCTGCAACAGAGACAGAGAAGCAGCAGTGAGGGGTTTGCTTACTGTAAAATAACCTTCTGATGTGAATTAGTAGCGACACGCTGCCTCCTGGATTTCTCACGGCAAGGAGCAGGTAGTGTGCCGAGAGGACGCGTGGACCGGCCAGGCCGGGCTGTGCTGTCTGATGTGTTAATGGAGAGGCAAGAAATTAGTCCAGAAAGTAACGTAGAGTGTGAACTTTGTGATAAAATTCAAGTGTGGACAGTTGTAGCAGGTGTCTTCCCTGTGGGAGCATCTCATAGCAGTAGTTATGTAGGAATAAACTTTGTCAAACTTCTTTGGCGGTGGCTGAGTTTGCCGGCGGTGTGTGTAGAGGGTCCCGCAGGCCCTGTGTAGTCAGAGGTTGTTGGTAGTCTGTAGCTTCGGGCTTGTTTGGTTTCACCCCGCCCCTGCCCCACTGGTTTCCCCAGCCCTCTGGACGGACCCCGCGGAGCCCGGAGCCAGCCCCGACGTGGGCACGGCACCGGCCGGGGGATGCTGGTGGCGGGGACCTGCGCCCGCAGGCCTGGGACCCTAAACCCCCCCTTGGGCGCCTTCGGGGTTGGCCTTCGCCCCCTCTGCCCGCGGGCTCTGCCCCCCAGATCTGCCCTCCCGCAGCGGGGCCGGGGTGGCGGCGGCGCGGGGGCAGCTCCCCGCTGCCTTCAAACAGTTACCTCAGCCCCCGGGCCCCGGCGGGCGGCGGGAGCCTCTCGCGGCCGCGGGGCAGCCGAGCGGCAGCGGCCTCGGTTATCCTGAGCCCCAGAACTCTGACGGCCGGGCGGGAGCGCGGGTGCTCCCCTGCTCCTGAAAAAGCTCAGTCAGGTGCTGCTCGATCCGTTCGATACAGGGAAACCAAACAGTTTGGATATTCTGGTCGTTTATTGTGAAATTGTTTCCTAACAGCAACAGTTCTAAATGTCATCATGCAAATGGAAGAGAGAAACCTTTTATGCAGTTGCAAAGTGTTTTTCTAAGATGCTATGCATTTTGTTGGGTTATTGAAAGTGAATTTACTGTGCATTAATCTTATGAATGTTACTACGTTTTATATTTATTTTAGATGACCCTCCTGTATTTTACAAAGGGAAGTTTCATTGTGTGATAACTTAGTCCGTATTCTTAATATAATTTGTTAAATAAAACTCGTTTTAATCAGTTTATTCTCTGTGCTTTGTGTTGTACATCCGGAGTTTTGGAAGCTCAGATCTCCGCAGCTCTGGCTTGCGGGGCCGGCTGGTGGGACCGGCCGCTCTCCCCTCTGCACCCTCATTGCGGCGGCTTCTGCAGATCCCAAACCTGAACCCGGGAGTGGTTAAAACCACCGGGAGGAATGAGCCAGGAGCGGGGGCTCGCTGTGAGCTGGGTGCCCGTGTGGCACCTGGACCCGCGTGGGTTT